GGAATGGGGAAAAAATAAGAACCAAGATGCATTATGTAAAGGTACAATTCCCAATGAGAAATGTAATTGTGTTGTATACCTAAAATGTAGCAATAAAAGAATTTAACAACAAAAAAAGAAATAATCAGTGAAAGTTCCCTCCAGAACTTTCACATTTTACTGGACTAATATCAGCCTTTTACTGGCCTAATATCAGCCTTTGATTCTGGATAACTACTTCTGAAGCCAATGAGTACCGAAGTGCAACTGCATTATCTGCAGCCCTCCTTCTTTTATGAATATCAGCTCTGCTTCTAGATATTTCTTCATGAAACTCCTATTGTTATTACTTTCCAGCTAAAATAAGCTTACTGTCTTTCTTCTCAAATTGCTGTCTTATTTCCCGCAGGGAGATCACCATTTTCCTAGCCACATGGGTTTAAAATATGGGAGACACTATTGATTTCATTCTTTGAAGATTGCCTACTGGTGACTCACATTCCACTTTATGTCTGATTGTTCAGTACCAGGGTGAAGAGTAACTAGCCTTTCTCAAATCCATATCATAACTACACTGACCGTCCTATAGCATCATTTGAGTTACATCTTTCTCCTGCACAAAAAGCTCCTTTATAATTGCCAAATAAAAAACAAGCCAACCAATCAACAAACAACATTTTCAAATCAAGCAGGGGCTTCTACCTTAATTTCCAAGAAATAAGATCAAAGGGAGTTTATTAGAGAACAGTTTAGATGTGAAGTAGAGCTCTTCTGTTCTCTGTGCAGGGACCCAGTCCACATCTCCCCCAGTCCAGCCTCTCTGGGACACGAGTCCTCCCGTTCTCCCCTTAGCCATTGAGCATTAGCATAAGTATCTATCTTACCTGAGCATACTCTTGGCCTGTTATTACTCCTTCCCACCTGTTCCAAAACATAGCTTCCAGTCCGTTAGAACTTCTAGCCCTTCATTCACTACTCCATTCTCTCCTCCTTCAACTCAGACTATCATGGATTAAAGGTTGCAGGTTAACAAGCTCCAACCATGCCATTCTCTTGCTGCAAATCCTTTGTTAGTCCTCTGTTGCCTGCTATAGTTCCATCCATTTTCTTCTAAGCTTGTCACATGCTGACCTCTTACCACTCACCCTCTCACCCAGCTGATACCCAAACACACACTGCTAGATAAAGCCATTCCCAAGACCACTTGTGTGCAGGCAAAATTAGAGCAACTTGCTATTCTGTGACCTCAGCAGGCATTCTCTAGCAATATACCTCCATACAACTTTTCCTCTTCTATTCTAAATTTCTCTCCTACCTTCTCTCCTTCTCACAGCCCAATATTTACCTGGCAAAATCCTATTCACCCTGTAAAGGCTTTCTCAGTGCTTATCTCTGGAAGCTACACTAGGTTAATTTATGTCTTCAATAGATATCATTACTGGGGTACCTTCCTTCTCAACTAGTTATAGATTCTTTTGCTAACAGTGAAAATTTGACAACTTTTAAGTGTTTTAAGACAAAATTTATTTTGCAAAAGTACATAGTTGTTTGGAAGAAAATGCAGATGAATATGGAGACCAGCACCCAGTATAGTGCTGGTGTGGTTGGTATCTATTAAAACAATTGACTGGATGAAACTGGGTGTGAATTTTCCTCTCCCAAAACTGTACCAAAATAAAATATAACATCATGGTCTTTGCATTGCTATATATGTAAAGAGCAATATATATGTCATATATATGATAATTAACTTTATAAGGTCTTATAAGATAAACAAATGAATCTGATCTGGAAAAATAAAAGGGTGGTGGAGAGAGGGGAGGAAAACAGGGAATTGAAATATGTTATGCACAGGTACCAGTCCTATACAGTGAATGTAATCATTATATACTGCAAACATGTACTAATAAAAGTTTTTTTTAATGAAAAAAGTGAAATATGTATAGTGGATTTTCACATACATTTGTATGGAAGAAGACAGGGGTGAAAATAGTTCAAATAATTCTAAATTAAAATATTCTTGTCAGCTGGACATAGTGGTGCATGCCTGTAATTCCAGTACTTGGGAGGCTAAGGCAGGAGGATTGCCGAGAGTTTGAGGCCAGCGT